TTTACAGAAAGAAACTGGCTGCCTCTCACCGAGGCTGAAAAGTGTCAAGTGTCGTAGGTGCAATGGAGGTTCAATGGGCAGTGGGGACTGGTGCAAACCCAATTGGCCCGACAGCTGGCGAGCACAACTGCTGGCCGCAGAGCATCANACACACACACACACACACACACACACACACACACACACACACACACACACACACACACACACACACACACACACACACACACACACACACACACACACACACACACTCCAACACATCAGCACACCAACTCACAGCCAAACACCTCTAGTCGCCGTAGTCTGATTGCCCAGTCAGTCAGTCAGTCATGGGGTGTCATGGGCACTGAAGTAGTGAAGATTTAAGGTGGAAGAAGCTCAAATGCATGCGGACAGGTGACAGTGAAGGAGTGGGTTGTGTGTGTGTGCTGCAGTGACGGGCATCAGTGTGTGTCTCCTCTTTCAGCTGGGCTGCCATCCGCGTCGAAACTGAAAATGGACTGTTTATTGCGGCCTAGTCTTCTGTGGGCGTGTTCGGTGTCAGAGTGTCTGTCTGTGGGTGTGTGGGTGTGTGTGTTTGGGTGTCATTGTTGACTGTGGAAAGCAACGAAAAGGAAGTAGCGAAAGGTAAAAAAAACAATCAAATTATTATTATTTCGATAACGATAATAACAAAGTTAACAAGGTTGCTCTGCATTGCTGTGGGGTGCTGATGCTGATTCTGCTGCTGCTGTTGAGGAGGAGGTGGTGGTGGTGGTGGTTGATGCGCGAACGCAATCGGGTGGTATTGGAGGGCATCTCTCGACCAGAAGAGATGCTTTTCGTAGAAAAATATGTAGAAGTTAACAATGAAACAGTCGAACAGGGCAGAAGAAGAAGGAGAATAAGAAGAGGATGATGAAGAAGAAGACCTATTTATACAACACTGGTGTAGAGAAACAGAAAGAGAGATACAGAGGAAATTCATTCGATCGAATCAGCCGAATCGCGTCAATTGGATTAAATCATAATTATAATAATATATATAATAATAATAGAATAATATTTTGCATTTGGCATTTTTGCGGCCCGAATGCTTCCGCTGGTGAGGCGGTCGCGTGAAAAGAGCTTTAGGCGTCGGTGGCTGGGCCGTGTCGAGACTGCATGTGTGTGTTGTGTGTGTGTGGGAGTGAGTGAAGGAAAGAAAGAAAAAAGAGAGTGACTGACTGGGAGAGAGGAAGGAGGAGGAAAGAGAAAAGGGCTGCAAGCAGTACTGAGCAGAAGATGAAGAAGAGAAATGGTGGTGGTGGTGGTGGTGGTGGTGGTGGTAGTCTGGGAGTTCACTCGATGAAGCTTAACTGCCCCTCCGACTTAATCATCCAATGAGATTAAGCTTCGGGCGCGTTAACGTCGACTCCGAGAAAGGAGATGGAGAGAGAGAACGAGTTTGGGCGCTCTCTATTTGGTGATTGGTTGGGATGATGCTGATGGAGACGACTAACAGTTGACACCGCCCACCCGTTGACTGAAAGAGAGATGAAGAGAGCGAGAGAAAGACTTCATCCTGCACCCAAACACAGCAGATTGGTTAGCTGGCTGACTGTAGGTGTAGCACAATGACAACCAGCAAAACACATTCACTGATTGCGGTTGTTGTTGGTGGTGGCAGAGACGGGCAGATGGTTGCAGTCCAAGTTCAGTGCCGGTGTTGGGTTCACTGGCGCAGGATATTGTGCACTTGAAGTGATGCCATTGAAGTGCCTCTCTTTCCCTGGACAGTTAGTGTGTGTGTTTCAGTTTGGGATGGCTAACATTATCAAGACGGGCATGGGTTGCTGGCGATGAGGTGTGTGTGTTGATGGTGTGAAGGAGAGGGTGTGTGTACAATAGGCGGTGGCAGTTTGCACTGATCTAAAAGTCAACAAACTCCTTGGCGCACTTTTCAGTGCTCGATATTCGCAAAGCCTCCTCCTCGTAGTCGTCAAAGTTGCTAGTGTCACCAGGGCCTTTGCATTTGGGCAGGAAGGGCGCTTCAACCTGTGGGAGGGAGAGAAAGAGAGAAAGAAAAAATGCGTCAGAGGACAGGTAGTGCACGAGACGGTCAAGAAGCGGGAAGAGTAGAAGTTTTAGTAGTAGAAGAAGTAGTAGTAATAGTGGTAGTCATTCTCTAAGGGTACTTTGGGGCGTTCCTTTATTAAGTGAGGGAACTTTAGAAGAGGAATGTTCAAGAGGTGGAGTAATAAGGTATTAGAGGTATTTAGAAGGGTAAAAATTAGGGTATTGCAAGTTACCACTAAACATGCGATTTGTATAACATTGGAGTGGTGGTAGAGTGTGATGTAGGGCGTAGTAAGGTGCCGACGTTGGAGTGATCGGGCGGAAGGAGGCATCACTGCAGCCAAGTGGTATAAGCATACTGGAGGGAGAAGCAGTAAGCAGGGGAGCACGAAGCAGTGCCGTACACGAGTAGCCACCACCACCGCCATCCTCCTCCTTAGAAATCAATAAATTCTTCCTTGTGGTGGTTGTCCCCGCTTTGAGTTTGACTAAAGTAGGAGTCGGGCAGCTCCTCGTACGTGTCAAAGTGTCTCGTGTCGCCACTTGAGGTGAGACGCGGCACCAGAGGTACTCGAGGATACTGACAAGACAACGGAGGGTGTGTTTAATGTCACAGTTGCCCGAAAAAAAGTGGAGGAAATTGGTTCGCAATAGTGAGAGAGAGAGAGAGAGCGAGACAGTGACCCAGAGTGGTAACCCAAGGTGACACCGAAAGACGAGTGAACAGGGCGCCAGCAGTGACAGTGCCAGCGGTCAAGCGAACAAAGTGGTTAGTGCGTCCAATGTGTTTGGGTGGGCGGGATGGTTAGTACAGTAAGCATTGGGGTGGTGGTGCAGTGTAGGAAGGGGAGAGGTAGTAGCATGCAAAAGACAAACGACCGGTAAATGGCGAGTTGAGCAATGGCGACCAGTGTTGCCGCCGCTGCCGCAAACACTTTTGCCAAACACCTAAACCAAAAGAAGCTCCCAGGACTGAGAGGGCGAGGACAGGAGAGTCCCAGACGGTCCCTGCCATGCCTAGAGCAGTAGCAGATCAAGTGACTCACCTTCTTTTGGTAGATAGCGATCCAGTCGGTGGAACTGAACCAGCGGTGGTTCTTGATGTCGTTCACACCATTCTTTAGATTGCCGTATCTTTTGGTTAGGTCAACTTGAAGTAGGTTTCGTAATAGTTCCTTCAGCTCGGCGCTAAAATGCGACGGAAATCGAACTTTGCCTGAGACGATCTTCTCATAAATTTGAATGGGCTGATCGGCGAAGAAAGGCGGATATCCAGCTGCCATTTCGTATATGAGCACGCCTAGTGCCCACCAATCTGAAAAAATGGAAAAATGTGAGAAAGGTTTGTCGATGGTGGTAAACGACGCAAAAATCAATTCTTACCAACTGCCTTGTTGTAGCCCTACAAGTAGAACATTATAAAAAGAAATTGTAAACATTAGAAAAATGATGTTGATTTAATGTATAATACTCTGTTACCTTGCTAAGAATAATTTCAGGAGCCAAGTATTCAGGCGTTCCACACAAAGTCCATGTTCGGCCCTTTACCCGTTTTGCAAACCCAAAATCAGTAACCTTATTTTGAAAAAACAAAAAAAATAATTTTAGTAACCGAAAACCCAAACTAAAGTAAACAGTACCTTTATATATCCTGACTGATCGATTAGTAGATTTTCCGGTTTCAAATCACGATATATGAGATCGAGATAATGAAGGTACTCGAACGCCAGGACAATCTGAGCCGCGTAGAAACGGGCCATTTGTTCACTGAGAAAGTGAAAGTGTGATTAAGGATTAGTAGAAATCAGTGAAGAGTGATTGAAAACAAAGGAGGTCAAAAGAGGGTAGTGCTATAAATAGAAAGACTGAGAGAAAGAGAGTGCAGAGGAGACAAGGACAAAAACAGAGTAGTGGGAAAAAAAGAGAGAAAAAGAAAAGAATTGGGACAGAGGACAATAGCTAAGTTAAGTGAGAGGAAAAGAAGAAGGTGCGAGCATCTCTAGTGGAATGTAATCAACTAGACTGGGCATTGCATGCAGGTGTTGAGTGAGTGAGATTAGTATGCACAATATTACCTAAATCTGCCTGTCTTCCGCAGGTGAGAGAACATCTCACCACCTGGTACATACTCAAGTACCATGTAAAGGTATGAATTGTCCTATAGAAAAGGTAGAAAGTAAAAAGAGAAAAAGAGGAAAAGTTGGTGTTAAAAAGTTGCCGCGCGCGTTCGGCAGAATTCAATTCCGACCGAAGTTCAGTTCAGTCAGTGCAGAGTAAGTTCAGAGTTGGTCGTGCCAAAGTTGGGCCAGTTTGCTTGTTTCGTCTACACACCTCAACACCTGAGCGAAAATTTAGCTGTCTAGTTGTTCCCACCACCATTTTCAGCATAAAACTCCCGTCACTTGCAGGACACATGTTTTCGTATTCTACTAGCGTACTCACACGCTCGATGCATATCACAGATCACTTTGCCCGCGGCACCTCACCTTACACTGAACTTAAAGTGAAAAGTACGACAGTAGAAAAAAAGGCACAAAAAGAAGGAAGGAATAATAGAAAAGATATCAATGAATGAATGGAGGTAGAAGAGAAACCAATGCCGGGAAATAAGCAACNCCTCACCTTACACTGAACTTAAAGTGAAAAGTACGACAGTAGAAAAAAAGCACAAAAAGAAGGAAGGAATAATAGAAAAGATATCAATGAATGAATGGTGGTAGAAGAGAAACCAATGCCGGGAAATAAGCAATAAAAGTTGAAAAAGATAGAAAACACATAACAAGTAAGGAAGAAGGCAGTGAAAGTTGCCTCAAAACAAAAATTGTAGTACCTAAACTTGCCGACGCGCCGGAGGTGAGCGAATAGTTCGCCACCAGGCACAAAGTCCATGACCATATAGAGACAACTATTGTCCTGTTAGAAGGAAAGTGTAGCGGCCGTGGTAGGCCAGTTAGAAATGATGATGACCATTAGGGTGATGGTGGTGCTAGTGGTGGTGATGAAGATGTCAAGCAAACAGACCCAAACAGTGCATCAGGTAAAATGCACGGTAGACCAACCTAGAACGCTGACACAGTACATACCTTGAAGTGTGCATCGAGGTGAACCAAAAATGGAAAATCAACTGCATGCAGAATTTTCTTTTCATTTAGCGTGTGCTCGACTTGCTTCAGACGGACGACCTGGGAGACGGCGGCAATACAAAAGAAAGAGAGAGAAAGAGGAAAAGTGTGAGACGTGGGCGGCACTGGGCATTATTGATCGGATCAAATTGCAAAAGTGCGCTTTACTGCGTTCGTACCTTTTGTTTATCGAGAATTTTCATGGCAAAGTGTCGCCCGGTTTCAGGGCCACTTTTCCTCTGGACGAGCATCACCCGGCCAAAAGAGCCGGTGCCGAGCGTTTTGATCCGCTCGTAATCGTCGAGGGAGGCTGTGTTGGTGCTCGGCGTGTTCCATTTGCGCTCAAAGTCTTCCTTTGCTTTCTCGAGGAACTTTTGAACTGCGAAACAAGAGAGGAGGAAATGAAGATTAGTTGGGAACGGACAGCAAGTGGCCAGCTGGCAGACGGGTTAGTAGCGAGAAAGAGAGAGGCAGGTTAGTGCGTGACAAGCGACTGTCATATACGGGGAAAGGGACAAAGCTTTACTGAGGTGCCCAGCAAAGCTGAAGAGAAAGAGAAAGAGGCTAATTGGGGTTAGTAGCATAAGGGGTTAGTAGGCGTCATTAGTTATTTGGCACGTGTTAGCCTACGCTTTTTGCGTTCAGTAGGCGACGAGCGTAGGCAGAGAGGGTTAATAAGTGAGAGATAGAGCAAGAGAAAAAGAACAAGTAAAAGCCAAAATTACAGCAGTTTTGTAGCGACAAACGAGTAATACAGTAGCAGTAGTATTAGGATGGCATACCTGAAAATCTATCGTCATACAGAGAGCTGTTATTGGAATTGTAATCTATCAGGTGAATATCAGTGATTAGCATTCGGGTAGTACGGGAGGAGAGATAAAGTGTATGTGTGTGTATGAAAATATGAAAATACTGTTTTGAGGAACCTCGGAATTGTCTTTGAGAGGGCACCAGAGAAAAGGCTGGCGCAAAAAGGCTCGTCCAAAAATAGAAAAGAAAAAGTAGAAAAATTGGAAAGAAAATAAAGAGTCTAATTGAAAGTCAACAGATGAGACAGACACTGGCAGCTGTGCCGAGTGCCATCACGCTTCAAGAGCAAGTTTGAATTATGAAAGACTCAAGTTGAATTGCTCGGCCCTCTTTCTCCCTTCTAAGCCTTCCTGGAAAGACGTTAATTGGAGAGAAGAATAAAGTATTGACACTTCCAATTGTGAAGACTGCAGTCTTTGCGGTGACTGCCACAGAGAAAACTAAAAAGTTGAAGACAGCTGAATAAAAAGAATATCAGTGATAGGCTATATAGCCAGCCAAGAGGCACTTTCGCTCATTCCGCTTATGATGAGGAAGACATAAATGTGTGCAGAGAAGCAAACAGCGGCCGTGCTGAGACAAACTGGCCAATTACAATTGCAAATTGCCCCAGTGCCGCGCTTGTCATCCGCTGACTGAGCAGACAGTAGCAGTGTGTTTAGCCAATTCGGGCCCACAATTGCTGTGCCACTCTGGAACACATGGCACCCCATTCTCTGCTTTCTCATTTTCTTACTCACTTTTTTCCGTTGCCCTGAATGCCTCCAACTCAGCCACACGCTCAACAGCAAGCACTTGCTAGCACAATGGGCAATTTAAAGAAATCTAAAATTCAAATTCAAGTCCAAATGCAATAACGATAAGTGACTATTGATTCGATTTATTTGCAGCCAATGCAAAGACACATGACCAATTACCGATCGCACTCTAATCGAAGACAAACGGACGATTTAGTGAGCAGACCAAACACACACACACACACAGCGAGTGCAACCGGAGCCAGGGTATATCGAATTAAAGGCGAGAAATGCAAATTGGCACACAGACACACTTAGGGTAGACAGAAGAAAGCGCTTTATCGTGGCACGCAGTCCCGATCAATGGCTGCGAAGAGCAAACAGTGGCTGTAATGAGACGACAGCAAAGGCAAACAGGCCAACCAACGAACGAACCAACACACAGACAGACAGACATAGATCGAGAGGGAGCACTGAGGAGGCAATCGATGCGCCCAGAGAGCAGGGTCCGAGATGGCCTCCCCGCTTGGGTGCAAACACAACCGCTCACTCGGTATCCTCTCTTTGGAGTCAGCACTGGGCACCAGAAGTGGCGCAAGTGAACAGCTCCACTGGGGATTCGAGTCAGTGAGCACGCAAGGAGCTGCAGTTGCAGTTGCCGAAAGGTAACCAGTCAGTTCAGCGACTGTGAGAGCACTGTACCTGCGGCGCCCATTCACCCTGTCACCCATTCACTCACTCACACTCACCCTCTCTCTCATTCTCACTCTATTACTCGATATCAGTTCTCCCGTGTTCAAGTCCCCGGTGCTGACTAGGTGTCATCACCGAGACAAAAGGCAAGACTGAGTGCTCTCATGCCTGCAAAGTGAATGAACTAGACTAAATACTGCTCCTGACGATGATGCTGATGATGCAGATGTGTTGACCTGGCAGACGTTTGGGTGAAGAATGATGTAGGTAAAGAAGAGGGCAACGACAACACTTTGCCGCCCTATTAGTCGCAATATGAATTGCTACGGTGACGGTTCTAAAGAAGTGCAAAGAAGATGAGGCCAATAGGCACAACAGAGCACATCCAACAGTCGTCTTTTTCTTACTTGAGAGGTAGCGGCTAAGGAAGAAAGGTGCAATTGACTGTACATTCGTTTGCGGCCGGTAACAAAGTGAAAAGTGTCTCTCAGTGCTCACTATTGGTTGCCACCAGTGCGGACAGTAAGTCGTAAGTCAGTACACTACTTTGCTGGTTATGTGTATGTGGCTTAAAGGGAAGGAAATAAAAAAGAGTACGAGAGAAAGGGGAGCAAAGGAGCAGTAGTAATCAGAGCGATGGTCCGATGGCGACTCGGTGGAGACGGCGACAGCGGAGCTGTTGGCTTTTATTGTAGCTGCAGCATCCGAAGAGCAATTAGGGCACTTCATTTTGGCCACATCGAACATGTCTACACATAGTGCTGGCGATTTATTGTCTCATCTTCCGAGCTCGTTATCACTGCCATGGCAGGACAAAGTACGTCAATAATATCAGGGTGGAAGAAGGCGGAGAAGACATAAAGCAAGCAGAGTGATGACCGATGGCTGCACAGCAAAGACAGTATAGAGGCAGTGAGAAAGTGACTCTGCAGAGGGACAAATAACAGTAATAGACATCGCATATACAGCGCAGTGTAGATTGTGGTCACAAGGGAAATATGCAAAAACTCAACAGTGTATCCGCTTGCTGCTGCTGGAGCATCAACAATAGTGGACAAGGCCACTAATCGGGCTTCTAAAAATAGAACCTAACAGACTGAGGAGCGCAACCTCTCGACCTCGACCGCGACTCGACCGAGGCGGAAGACGGAAGCTAGGAAAAGTGCACAAAAGAAAACAGACGGTGCCTGAATGAGACAGGGGAGCACCGGTTGCAGTTCGGCAAAATGCAGCTAGCAGTAAAAAAAATGTGGCATCAGTTGTTAAGAAGTTAAGAGCCGGCCAGGGGCGACTTAATGTGTGTGCGGCTTGCCACTGTGCCCACTCCTTTACTCCTAATTGGCCCAATGACTACAAACAGCCGTTGACCTAGAGAGAAAGCTCACTCTCGGTGGGCAGCCAGCAGACGGTGCCAGAGTGCAAGCACCGGAGCGGTGACAGAATGCGATGCAAAACGAGGTTAGGCTATAAATAGAAAGTGCACTTCCCAAATTTGCTCCACTTTCAGAAACCGTCGTAAGTGTAAGTGAGAGTGAGAGAGAGTTCATTGCTTGATGGCGAGTTGTTGGCCTAAGCTGCGGCCGCCGCCGTTCAGAGGGTATTGGCAACTGAGAGTCTACTGCTGCCGTACAGCACTGTCTGCCAGTGTGTGTGTATGTGATCCTGCAGGTGAAAGGATGCTGCTGCTGCTGCTATTTTGGGACGAGACCCACTTCTTCTGCGACCGCATGTCGGTGCCCTATATACGCCTTCACACTGACACAGCCGCCACCGCCGCCGCCGCATCTGGGCTCGTACACAAAGCAGACACACAGACATACATTTCGACAGGCGGACGCGTGCCGCAAACCAAGTGGCAGTTACCCTGCCGTACAGAGTTCACCCAACACCGCCGAAGCAGGTCGGGAGGGAAAGAGAAAGAAAGAACGCCATCGTATAAGCGTACAAACACAAACACACACATAGCAGCAGAGACGTTGAGGCATCAGAGCACATATTTGTTAGCAATGCCATCAGTCGATATCGGCGGGGGCCTGCTTTGGCTTGGCCTGCCGCCGAGATGCATCTTTACGGCGCCGGCAAATGGAAATGGAAACGGCTCCAGTGAAGGGAAAGGGAGAACGAAATTCACCGTACAAAAACACCGAAAGACAGTGCGCCGTCACTCTGATGACATGCAGCGGCCTGTACACTGGAAAGTAAGCGAGCTAGTCCCTGCGTCTGGCAATCAGGAGTTAAAGACCAGAGCCGAATGGGGAGATTGAATGAACAGATGCGAAACTAGTCTACTACTACTACTCCTACTAAACACTGGCAACTTTCTCCGCTGGTACTTGAAGCGGTCGAATAGTTTCCTCTTCTTTTTCACTCTCGCCGGCAACAGTGCTCGACTACAGTGCATCAAAGAACGCCGTCGTCCAAGAGCGTGCATTTTCCCGTTCTGACCGTGATTCTCTATATACAGACGTGGCCAGTCGTTCTGACACACTGTAGCACCAGCAGTTTCAGTCAGAAGTACTGCTGCTGCTAAGGCCAGCCAAGCACATGGAGCAGAGCGCAGCAAGGACACCGCCAGTGAGAAGTGCCGAACGAGCAGTTAATTGGCGCCTCGCCTTGTCTATATCGCCGGGATAGGAAAGAAAGAAAGAATGAATGAATGAATAAATGAGTGAGTGAGTGAGTGAGTGAAAGAGAAGCGACCAAAGCGGCTTGTGGCACGTCAAAATTCGCCACAACCAAAGTAATGCGCCCCGAGCAATGGGCGCGAGCTTGGTGGCCACTTCTTGGACGAGCAAGGAAGCATTGAAGCTTTGCCTCGCCACGAGCCGCAACTCGATTCCTGCTGTTGCCCCCACAGTTGCTGACAGACACACAAACAGAAGAGTGAGAGAGAGAAACTGGTGCAGTAGTTTCAAGTGTGCCGGTCATGAGCAAAAGTAGCGGCTGCAGACAAAAAAATAGACGCTGCGGCAGAGGACGCCGATGACCGTCGTCGGACGAACTGGTACAGTGCTGAATAGCTAGTGGCAACAACGACGGAGACAACAACAACAACGATGAAGACCCCATGATAGTTGAAGTGAGCTGGCAGAGAAAACTCGCCAAAGTGAGGAGTGAGCGTGCTGGAGAATGGCTGGTCGAGCAGAAGAGCCGCCAGCTGAAGCTCCAAAAGTCGGAGTTGTGGTAGTAGGCTACGGCCGTGAAGGCACAGTCTTTCAATGTCAGCGACAGACTGCTGCTGGGAGACAGCTGCACTGAAGTCGGCCACTAAAACCTCTGCTCATTCTGCTGCTTCTGCTTTGGCTGGTTCTGGTGTTGGTGTTGGTGGAGAGTGCTGAAGCAGAATAGTGATCGACTGGAAGGCAGCGAGTAAATCACAACTCGTACTTGGCTATATCGTTGATTAATGTCTCCAAGAAGCAATCGAATGACAAAGGAGACCATTGCATGGCCCAATGGCACGCCGACTGCGACCAAGAAAAGAGGGGACACATACACCATCAGAGGAAGAGAGAGTGAGAGAGGAAGAAAGAAAGAGTGGCAACTGTCGACCGCTTGTCGTCCAACGTCACTCTCACTCTTACTTTCGGGTTTGTCTCTGGCGAGGCCATATAGCTTTGGCTAAAAGAACCACCACCACCACCAGAACGAAGCTTCGATAGTCGTCGACATTGAAAAAGGCAACGCACCACCGACAACAGAATCGATCACTAGTTCTCCCTGTCGATGGATCAGCAGATATCGACACCAGGGCCAACCACAAGCAACCACGGCTGCACCATTGCCAGACGACGAGGGTGCAGCTGCTCGGGCGCCGCGAGCAGTCACTGGTCATGCACCGAGAGAATGAAAAAGAGAATGGGAAGAAGAGAGAGAGAGAGAGAGTGACTGGTCTGGTTGATGATCAGACAGACAGAGAATGCTGGCAGAAGACACAAGACACCAGCACATCCTCGAGACAAAGGAGTGTGCTTTGTCGTTGTCTGCAGAAGCAGTGACTGAGGCTGCAATTAGACTCATTCAGTGATATTGGCCTTGTCAGTAGGTCGATTGTCGCCAGTGAGCCACCGCCATCACCATCACCGCCAGAGTCTAAACTACTGCTTTGGTGCTCGCTTGCTGCGCGTCACTGCAAACGCCAGAAAGAGGCAAATTTAATTATGTAAAGCCATTCGCAAGTGTAGGCATTCTGAAAGAACGACAGACACACTACTGCACATCATCATCATCATCGCCGTACAATGTCGTACAATATATTTATATAGAAAAAAGAGAGAAAAAGAGAACGAGAAGGAGTGAAAGAGCGACGACTTGCCACTGGCACTTGAGAGCAGTCTTTTACTGGTGGCAATGCTGTCACAGACGGTGGCTGGCAATTTGCCTGTTTCAGGCGAACTGGCAAACGACAGCCACGCCGACGACAACGACGACGGCCAACAATTGAGCTTAAACAGAGACACGACAGAAAAACAATAGATGTAATTAAAAGGCACTCGTGTCTTTCTCCCTTTCTCGCTCACTCTTCGATTGGGACCGTCGAGTGGTGAAGGCGAATGCGAAGGCGAGGAAGATTGGCCAAGCAGGCAGGTGGCGGAGGCAAAGACCGTTTGCCATTTCAAGCCTGGTAGCCTGGCACTCGATCATTGACGTAAGGGGTATAACACTCTGTGTGTGTATGTTCTTCTATGCCTGTACAAGTGCACGAGCCGATGCAGTGAGGGCAGGTAGGTGGGCATACGGTGATGAACTACTCTGGCCCTCTCCCCGCCGTCCATTACCCAATTATTGGCGAAAAAGAGAGAGGAGCAACTACGACAGCGGTGACAGTGAACATTTGGACAATGGCCGCCAACACTACAAGGTGACAGTGCCGCCGACCTCTGCCAAAGGAAAATCAAATCGACACTACCAACGAGAGAGTAAGAGAAAGAAGGGAAACTGATAGTAGGTTATAACTGCTAATGTAGACTGTGACAGTGAAAAAGGCGGAAAACAGGGGCCTCGTTTCACCTCTATTTTTCCTGCATGAGTTTAGCCGCCAGTGGTGCGCGCTACAGATATAAATAAACGCATGCAGGTCGGCAAAAATATTTGCAACCAAATAAATTAGGTTCTTTTTGCAGACACTAGTGAGCCTCAGTGGGAACAGAGAAAAAGCGACACTGTCTAATAAGCCTAATCACATGCCAACGCGAGATAAAGTCAGCCAAAATAGATGAGATTCAGTGCCAAATCCGATGCTGGCGCTAATTACTGGCGAGGCCTGTACGGCACAGGCTCTGCTCGATTGGCATGTGCACCATTCATTCACTCATTCATTCATTTACTCATTCATTCACTCATCTATGCATGCATCCATCTGCCATCAAAGCAAGTCACAAATTCGCCCTCTAGCCATCCTTGGCCCGAACTAATGCAGTCCCCGTTGCTAATGCACTAAAGACGAAGGACGCTGATGATTCTTCAGCAAAGAAGTGGGCGTAGGCGCAAAGAGGCATCAATGATGGCAGCAGTGATGACACTCCGGTGCACAATGTTGTGCAGTTGGCAGCGGCTTCGAGCACAGCGTCGAGGTGGCGCCAAGTGGAGAGCGAGAAAGAGTGAGAGGGATGCGCCTGGAAGGACACAACGACAGAGCTGACAAAGTATCGCGATCACCATCAGACAAACTGTTAGCAGCACGAGCATCGCACAGCAAACCAGACAAGTGACTTAATGGCCGATTAGTGCTCGTTACCTTTTCCTTAGTTGCTGTATTGTAGTAGTAGTAGTAGTTGTTGTTGTGTACGCTGATGTGCACTGTGCCGCATTGACATGAGCACAGAGGGAAACAAAGAGGCAAGCTGTACGACTGTCTGCGAGTCTACTACAATAGCTGTGTAGTAGTGTTGAGTGTGTGCCAGTTGCCGACAGGACAATCTGTCGCCACAGCCAGTGTCACTGCTCACTGCTCACAGACACAGATGACCACACAAGCCGGAATTGCAGATTCGATTGGACCGCTTCTCCGAAATAGGGGCAACATCGGAGGAGCAGGGGGCAGCAAGCAGAGGAGGGAGCCATCGGCGTCGGTGCCAGTGTGAGCAGTGGCCAGTCACTGGTGCAAGTACTGTCCTGGCTTGATGCCCGCAAATCGAAACGTTGGAGGCAATTTATTATCGACTGCCTGGCGCACGCCATTCCAAGTGCACACACCTTCGTGCGTCGCCCTAGCAGCCAGTAAATACTGTGAGCTCACATATTTCAGGCAGTAATCATCATCAGGATGATGTTGATGCTGTCGCCATAGGTTGCCACATAGCTCTAGTCTAGCGTCTGTCCATGCGGAAAAAAAGTCCAATCGAACTCGATACTCTGAGCATTCGGCAACAGCAACAAAAACGACAACAACCACGGCAGACTGATGGCTAATGAATAGCGACATTCGACAGGCGACTTTCTCTCACTCTTTAAAGCTACTCGTAGTAGTTGTGACTGTGCATTAGTGAAAGTGAATCAAGAGGAGAGACGACTTTGCCATCAAGTGGCTGTCAAAGGCACAGTGCAGGCAAGCAATGATGCAGCGCCGATAAAGTCGATAAACAAATCGGCAATGAACACATACACACAAGAAAGAAAGAAAGAAAGAAAGACCGACCTGTCGCCGCAGCAGCAGAGCAGGCAGACAGGCCGCGCACAGTGACAAGTGGAGGAAAGAAAGAGAGAGAGAGAGAGTTAGTGACTAGTGTAGTAGCTGTACGACTGTGTACAATCCGCCTTATCGGATGGAGAAAGTGAGTGAGTGAGCGAGTAGGATAGGTGCCTGCGTACGGCGAGGTGCACATTTGCATGGCTGGCCGCCTCGTACGGCAAAGGCAGCGTAGAAACATCCAAGAGCAGTACACTGTTCTGCAGTTGGCATCGGATGCGTGCAGGGACAGCTCCTCGATAAACGTGTTCCCATCTCACTCACATCTTAATATTGCCCTTCAAACGAAGCTGCTGCGGCGGCTTCAACTGCTGCATCAACAGCAACCCTGTAGTATCGAGGTATCACATGGCTAAATATAACCCCAGCAGCGTAATGGAATCCACAATTCATAGATACGAGCGCTCTGAGCAGCCAAAATAACAGCAAAACCGCAAGCGATGGCAAAGTGCGGCGAGAGATGCAAGAGTTGCTATAATTAACTACTACCAGTCTCTGAACGCTGTGCCCCGCAGTGGCACGGCTTATGTCATACAAACACACACACAGAGAGGAACAACACCGGAGAGTGAGAGAGGTCCATTTGGCGCCTTCAGACCCGTGGAGTCAGCGCCAAGTCAAATACAAACAAAGTCGGCGGAGAAAGTGTGAGTCTTCTGGCCTTTGCCTTTGCAGAGCAACTGAAGCATTGCTCTGCAAACAAACAAACGAGGCGAAAGCAGCGGCACCACCCGATCATGAGTGCCGTGGCTGATGCTGCTGTAGCGGGCACTACTGCTGGTACTAGATGATGATGCCTTCACCACCCGATCCCGGCGACCGGCCAGCTGTCCAGGAGTGGGTGACAACTGTCAGATTAAGTTCACCGTCCATCAACCAGTCAAGGAAAGAAAGAAAGAAAGAGAGCAAACAATGCCCGCTGATTTAGAGGAATTGGACCAGCTGAACTAGCCGATTTTAAGCAGTCCCCCAGACGCCCGGCAACTAACTAATGACTACAAGAATCGTTTGATTATGTTAGAAAATGGGGCATAAAAAGAATAACAAATAAAAAGAGGAGCGAAAGAATGAAAGGTATTGATGAGGATTGATGCCAGCGCCTTAGTGCTTGGCAATGGACTCAAAACACTGTGCTTCTCACTGGCTCGAGAGCCACATTTGGCAGAGGTGAGCGCAAGAATCAGGCGTTTGTTCCATTGAACAAATGAAAACGGCAATTGTCCGGAAAGTTACTATTAAACTGTCTGTCAGAGTGCAAGTGGTGGGCGGCAAAGATGCTCTGCTGCACCCTTCTGCACAAGTGCCCTTCAGGTGGTGGTGGTGGTGGTCGCCGACGCTGCCGCTGATGTCGCCGCTGTCATCATTGTTGTTGTCATCACTG